TATTAATATAACAAATGCTTTCGAAAAAGCTAGAACCTGGTCAGTAAACAGTCTTTTTGACGATTCAAATTTTACTGGAGTGCTCAGCTATGGACCTTTCACAAGTTTATAAGTGGAAAATAACCCTACACCAATAATACCTTCTGGTGATTTTAAAATAAATGCTATGAACAATGCAGCTGTTACTCAAACCCCCGAAATGCCTATAAAGGGAGATGATAATCTGGAATTTATTACGGACTTAGTGGAAGAGGTACTAATAAATGTTTTCAGCGAAGCTTCTTACCTAGGAGTAGCACAATCTCCTAAACGTGCAAAATTAGTAGATATTCGACCATTTCCTACATTGCAACCAAAGCAGAGTAGGCGTGGTAGAAAAAAGGGAAAGTCATGCATATATACTAGTATACCAGAAAAGAATAGGGTAGAAGCTAAAAAGAAGGAAAGGAATGCAAACGAGTCAAAGTTGTAAAAAGAAAAATTAATGATAGTGAAAAATTAAAACCTGCACAATAGAACCTAAAAAAAAGACCAAAGAAAAAATCATCTTACTCTAGTTCCTCAGAATCTGGCGTATGCGCTACGATGTCTGATTGCAATTCAGATTCTGATATAGATGAACAGTTATAAGGAGGCAATAAATGGTCTTTTAGATGATAAATAGGTTTTTGTAGGCGACTTTGTTTTGGTAAAATTTGCAACAAAGAAAACGGTCGTTCATTTTGTGGACCGTGTAGAACAACTTGTGGATAAGGAACTAACAATAAAATTTTTACGATACAAACTGAACAGTGGCTTTTATTATCCTGCTGAAAATAATATTAGCACTATATCTAAAGCCGATATTGTGGCAAAACTTCCTATACCTTTAGAATCCAAGGGAACATCTTGTCAAGCGTCTTACATAAAGTTCAATACCTCATTTTCCCCTTACAACATTAAATAATTTCTTTGCCATGTTATAACCAATAAATATCATTCGTAAGTATATATATATATATATATATATATATATATATATATATATATATAGCGAGTGTTTGCAACTTTAATTTTGTCGCTTCTCGCATCCCAATCGCCATAATTTCTTATCGGCCCAGTCTCCTTCTTGAAGACCTCTATTTTCCATTTCTATATGAATATTGGATATCCATTTCTTTCTTGGCCTTCCCCTTTTATTTCTCTGTGTAGGTCTCCAGTTCCAAACCTTTCGTGGTATCCTTTCTTCGTTCATCCGTCTCAGGTGTCCATACCATTTTAATTGTTTTTCGGCTATCGTATCCATTATTGTGTTCTTTACTTTCATTCTCTCTCTTATGTTTTAATTTCTTATGTGGTCAAACAAAGTTAACCCGGAACATCTTCTCCAGTACATCATTTCCGTTGAGAGGAGTTTTTGTGACATATTATTGTTAAAGACCCACACTTCTGACCCATACGTCAGCACCGGCTGAATCATAGCCTGATATATATTTTTCTTTGTTTTCTTAGTTAAAGTTTTATTCCACAGGATCGGATGTAGTGTTTTTATCATGTTTTTTCCTTTTCCTATTTTTCTTGTTATATCTTTGTCGTCTCTCCCGTCTTCGCTTAGTGTAACTCCGAATATCCGAGTACTGATCAACGTTTTTAATTAATCCGCTTTCTGTTTCCATGTCTTGACCGATGCCTCCTATATTCATGTATTGTGTCTTTTCGGTATTAACCTCTAATCCCCATTTTTTGAATTCGTCTATTAGTTTGTTTATCATGTACGTCATATCTTGTAGGTCCTCGGCAAGAACTACCTGGTCGTCTGCGAAGAGGATTGTGTATATAGGAGTGTCATTTATCCATATGCCCATTGGGCTGCATTTTCTCATCCAATGTTTTAAAGCATTACCAAGATATATTTTAAATAGGGTTGGGGAGAGGCAAGAGCCCTGTTTGACACCCTTTGTTTGGGTGAAACCCTTGGAAATTTGGTTTCCAACCTTAATATAAGCTTGGTTATCTTGATATAGCTTTTTCACGGCATTTATATATACTGCATTTATACCAGCGTTTTCCAATGTTGTCCATAGTCTCTGCAGTGGTACGGAGTCAAACGCTTTACGGAGATCTATAAAAGTGGCATGAAGTTCTAGTCCTCTTGCTAATCTCTTTTCCGTTAGGTGTTTGAGAGTAAATACATTGTCGACACAAGATCTCTCTGGTCGGAATCCACTTTGTTCTTCGATCTCTGTGGCTTCTTTTTCTATTCTCGCTTTCAGAACTCTTTCATACAGTTTGCCAGTGGATGACGTAATGCTGATACCTCGGTAATTACTGCAGTCATTCCTGTTTCCCTTTTTGTAGATGGAGTTTATGTACGAGACTTTCCAATCTCTTGGGATACTTTCTCCTTGTAGGCACTTGTTAAACATTTTACAAAGCAATTCTAATGTTATTGCAGTGGCATGTTTGAAAACTCGATAGGTAAATCACCCGGCCCAGGAGCTTTATTATTTTTCATTTTTTGTAATGCGTTTTTTATTTCTTCTACGGTAATCATCGCCACTTCATTTAACCCCGTTTCAACTCTATCTATCTGTGTGTCTAGAAACTGTGTACGTTGTTCATTTAATAGATTTTCATAATAATTTTTCCATCTTTCTATGTCTATGGGGTTTATTTTTTTTGTTTCGTTTGTATTTTTTCTAAGACTGTTGATAGTTTTCCAAGCTTGTCTGGACCTAGATCCTCCTACCATTGAGCTTATTTCTGCACACTTGTTGTCCCAGGTTATGTTTTTTGTTTTTTTAATTTCCTTTTTTACTATATATTTGTATCTGTTATAGTTCTTTCGGTCTTCCTCATCTTTTGTCGCTAACCATTTGAGATACAGTTTTTTCTTTTCTTCTACCAGTTCTAATAAACCTTCTGTCCACCAATAATTTCTGCGTTTTACTTTTTCTTTCGTACCTAGAGCTTCTAATGCTGCTTCATGAATTTTGATTTTCAAAGTCTCATACATTTCTTCCGCTGTTCCGTTTATTTCTTCGTCTAATTTTTGTGCCAAACGTAGTTTATAAAGAAAACTTGTGGACTCGTTTTTTAAGCTGTCTATGTTATAGAGCCGTGTGGATTCTTTGTTTGTCTGTTCTTGGGATTTATTTTGTTTAATATATCTTATTTCCACGGGTGCCTTTACTAGTAGGTGATCCGATCCACATTCTGCCCCTCTCCAAACTTTTACATCGTAGGGTCTTAAAGATGTCTCTTGTTTAACTACTATATAGTCTATAATTGACTGCAGTTTTCTTGTCTTTTGAGTCCATGTATATTTATTTATGTCTCTATGTTTGTAAAATCCATTCAGTATTTTTAACGAATGTTGTTCGCATACCTCCAACCATCTTGTTCCGTTCTCATTTACTACATCTTTTCCGTGCTGTCCAATTATTTTGTTGTCAAGAGCTTTACCTACTCTTCCGTTCAGGTCCCCTAGCATGACTATTTCTTGCCTTTTTTTTATTTTATTTAGCTCTTCTGAGAGTTTGTCGAAGAACATGTCTTTAGTGTTTGTATCTGAGTCGTCCGTGGGTGCAGATGCCAATTATTTTTATGTCTCTCCCCTTTGTTGTAAGGTCTACGGTTATAACTTTCGTCTATCGGGTTCCAGTTGGTAATACATTTTTCCATGTTTTTTCTTATCACGACCGCTACTCCAGCTTTGGCTCTTTTTGATTTTTCTCCTCCGCTCCAGAAGTATATATAATCGTCTTTGTAATGGTTCCCCTGTCCTTTCTTTTTTGTTTCGCTGAGTACTGCGATGTCAATTCGGTATGTACTGAGTTCCTTAAATACTTGGTCTTCTTTTGTATTCAGTCCTTGTATGTTCCAACATCCAAAATTCGTTAGCCTTTTTCTTAGCCTATGTCGTTTTCCGTTGAAGCCATCCGAGTTCCGAGGCTGTTCTTTGGGATTTTTAGCAATATTTCTTTTACGCAGGGCGGGGAGCTAACCTACCGCTGTAACCCTCCTCCTTCATCCGGGTTTGGGACCAGCACTGGCATTTACTGAGCTACTCAATCCACCCAGTATCTACCAGAGGCGGAGTTACTTCGTAACTTAAGTTGCATTCGTAAGTACTTCGTGTATTATATTATTTGTTGTTTATAAGTCTTAGACACATGTTTATCTGAATGGTCCAAATGTGCCCCAAAGCTGTACAAATCTGCCCCATTGTGGGGTACAATTGGACAAATACTGTTGAAGAAAATTTGTATTTGCTCTATGACAGGTTTATTCGTAGTTTCTTTGATAAATATTCAGAGACAACAGATACAACTACTGACTTGTACATTATCTGTTATAAATTATTAAAATATCTTGAAAATATTCCCTACTGAAAAATAATGTCCAAATCTACAGCACCCTCCCCTACAGCAGATTATTTTTTGTTAATGCTTCTAAGTGGACAATATATTTTTTTGTTTTATTCATTTGTTTGATGATTTTATCATTGACGTATTGGCTTTGCAATTTGATTTTTGTCTGAACAAATCTTTGACAGTCAAACCTCAAACCATTATTTGTTGACATGTCCCTACTTCTTCTTGAACTCATTTAAAGGATTTAAAATGTAACCAATGTAATATTCCAAACTGCTGTATTATACTTATTTAATATATTTAATTAGATTTTTTTATTTGCAGAGCCAATCAAAACATTAGAAATTACCGTAAATTTCAAAGATCAAGGCGAAAGGTGGGGATGAAAAATTGAGGCCTTTAAAAATTAAATTCATATTATTTAAGTGAATTAACAATAATAGTGCGCTTAGCCCCGCCACACCATATCCCCATTGCACGTTACTGCGAAGTATAGTTATCCTTTATCCGCCTTCTCCTGAACGAATAGAATAATACAAATTGCAAAACGAGCAGCCAGCAAGTAGTTATTGGAGTGTCGCGCGCATAACGTACAATTGACAAGCGAGTGCGCATATCGCCTGACAAAACCCAACAAAACCGATTAGTCGTTATTTTCTTACGAACGTGTGTGAGTGCCACTCTGTTTTGAAACTGTGTTCAGTGAGAAATTCTGTCCGCTCTCTGTTTGCGCCGAATGACATTTCGATTTTAACTCCAAGCAAAATGGCTGCCGATTCGGGAATGGATACATGCCCCTCGCCTGAGATCGCCGATTCCAGAAAAAGACCTCTGGATGGGGACGCCGAGAACGGAGACACTAAGCGGTCCCACTTTAGTTCAGGTAAGTTTTTAATTTCTGACATAACACTGTTTTTTTGTTTGAACGTTTCGACGCCATGACGTGTGCACACAACTACTGTCATCGTTTCAATGTCAAATTGAACGTAAACCTAGTAATGTGGTTGCTAGATTGAAGGCTACCTGCCGCTCTAATTACCGAACGGCCTATAGTGATGGTCCGACGGTGACTAACATTCGTGTTTACGCTGCCAGCAATCAGCTGAATTAGTTTGTTGGTGCTTGAGAACAAATCTTTGTTTTTTTAACATAAATATTATTGGCATCAAAACAATTAGGTCGAATGAATTGTTATTTTTTTGTCGCAATATTGTTTAAATACATTAACGTATTTAATTTTTTATAAAATACTTTTCCTTTTAACCATTCTTAACTTTCCGTCTCTTTCTCTCTTTTATTTCGCGATTTGCTTGACCTAAATTCACCTTCTTTGCTCCATTGATCATGGTCTGCTGATGACGTCATGCGGTTTAATGTGTTGCAAGGAAAGGAAATCAAGAGTTATGTCATTCACTAGAATTTAGTCTAAATAGGTTAATAGTATCTATCCAAGTAGAGATAATTTTTGTTCACTAAAAGTGTTGTTAAATGAAATACCCAAGGCATTTTTGATAAAAGTTATTGACATGAACTCTTGCACAAATTATCTTTTATCAAACACTTATCTTATTTGGTAAATTTATGGTAAACATTATTGACTGTCTATGCTCATTGCATTAGGTACATTAGAATATTAACAAAGAGATATTTATTTAGTCTTTTGTTTTATATCTCATAACAATATCTTTTTTAAACACATCAATCAGAAATGGTTATTAGTCAACAATATATATTATACAATTTGATTTTAGTTTATTATATTAGCACTAAATTAAGTACATAATACAGTTATTTCTTTTTTTCTCAGCCAAGAATGAAACTAGGTTCAGTTGACCTACTTTTTTCATTTTCCTTAATTCCTCATTACATCCATACCAAAATATATTTATTTCCCTTTAATTATTACAAGTGAATTACCTTTTTTAATATTACATATTAAATTACACTATAGTGTCAGTACAATGGAACATAATATTACAGTGAATCTGAATTTAGTATACTCTATTTGGAAATGTATGATAGCAAGGTTTTTATGGACTAAAATTACAATAGTGTTTATACAAGACTCTTCAAAATTGTAAATATGGATAACTTCTGGACCCAGTTTTATGCATAAACTTATAAAAAAGACAAACTTCTATACAATATAATATATATTGTCAATGAGCAAGTTTTAAGGATTTAAGCCAGGGTTGCACACCTCAGTAGTGGATAATTAGACTCAGACTTTACCATAAAGAAATACAGCAGATTTCCTCTATAACGAGAACTGAAATGGCAGACTAATTACCTCGTTATAAGCCGATCTCGTTATATCAAACAACAATAATACTGTGAATACTACATATGAATATGTAGTTTTCTAAAACATTAACTTCCTGTAGTGAAGCCATTTAGAGCAATATAAGATGATAAATATTGTTTCAATGGCGTTTTTGAAAAAATTGTTTACTTTTATTGTCAATGATATACTTTAAAACAAAAAATTTGTATTAATAAATCTGTATAAAGCGTAATTTCAAGGATAACTTCATTCTGCATTTGGAAGAAGTTTGTCATTTTTGACTGCTTTAAATTGTCCAGTATTCTATCTATCATATTTTCTAAATATGTGTAACAGTTGTATGCTTCTTCATTTGCGTTTTGTCTTTGGATAAAGTTTTTTACAACTTTTAAAGCACTTTCTACATATTGTCAATTAGGAACTTTTTATTATTAGGTGCGAATGGTCAATCTCTTACATTGACACTTGTGAATCATAAATTGTAAATTTCTGAAGAAGTTTATTGCGGGCGGCAGTTAAAAAGGGTATTTATTTATAGCCAAGGTCGGGTCAAAACGTAAAAAAACACGTTTTTCTATCTTATTTTCTCTCGTTATAACCAAATTTGCCTCGCTATAGAGGGTTATAATTCAATAGAAATTTCACAGGACATTTAATGTACCTCGTTATAAGCGAAACCTCGTAATATCCATGTTCGTTATAGAGGGAGTCGATTGTATAACATGTGTAAATAAATATATGTTCTCTTCAGATTACATAGCATCACCCATCACTAAAGCCGTCAATACCCCACGCAATTATAATTAGCTCTATTGTTTCTTCTATTTTCATATTGAGTTTACAGATTTTTTCTTAATTTTTAATACTGGGTGCATTCATTGAGTCATTCACTATGTAGTTGATGAATCATCATCATTCTGGCTTTACAACCCTGCGTGAGCCCTAGCCTTCTCAAGAATTTCTCTCCAGTCATCCCTATCCATCACCTTCTTTCGCCATATTTCTCATGTCTTTATCAATGTTATCAAAGAATCTTGTTCTTCCTGTTCTTCTCTGACTAATGGGTCTATCTTCTCTGACCAATGGGGGGTAGATGAATAGATTTAATTAAATGTGGAGCTGTTTCTCCATAATTTTGTAACCTTTTTATCTTGTGAAAACGTCTCTTGCAAAATGTCCTTAATTTATCCATATTTCATCCAGATAAAAACATTAATTATTGCCTTCACTTTTCAGTTTTTGAACTTCTGTTAAATATCACCTCTTCCAACAAGTTATTTCTTCTTTCTCTATAAGCACATATTTTCTATTATATGTCTCATGTCATGTTTAGCGATGTTTTGTTAATATTAATGTCTGCTGAAAGTTTGTCCAAATTTTGAAAATAAAATGAATGCACATTTCCTCGGAATTTATTGTTTTACAATATCCTTAATTTGCTCGGTTTGAAATCCTGCTCAAAATTCAAATTTTAATTATTTCTGAGGTTGAAAGTTTACTTCCATATTCCATTTTTCACAGTTACCTAAATACCAGTTTTTGATACATCTGGTATGTTGTTACCACACAACTTTTAGAATGTTTAAAAATAGTAAATACATAGATAAAAACAATAAAAATACAATGTTATCTCCATTCATTACTTTTTGAATTATGTGATGGTATACCTTACACTAAAAACACTTTATTTAACATGAAGTCCCCAATGTTGATATTTTTATCTAAAAATTTTTGATAAATATAGGTATAGTTCTGTGTATGTTGTACATATAACTACAATTATTATTTCCATAGAAATGGTGTAATGACACTTCCAGATTTATTAGACCCGATAATGTGAAAGGAAATTTTGGTGGTATTTGTGTGTTTTTACTTGAGGATGGGGGCTAAAATTATGTAGCTTTGTGTGTCTAAAACTGCAAATCTATGATTTGTATTTAAAGCCACAGAGGAATTATTATAAAGCCTAGTTTTTTCATACAAAAAAGAATAAAAATTAGAATAAAAATAGAAACTATAAAAATAGCAAGAACCTTTTGTAGTGTGACTTACATCCATGGATGAGTTTTACCTAAATTCTCCCCTTTATTTGTTTTTCAGTAAATACACCTTATAAGAATAATGATGAGCTTTTTGCTTATTTCTCACATTAAACACAATTTCTTGTGTTTAATGTCACTAAATGCCTTGTTAAAGAAAGCATTATTTGTTTAATTTCGGTTCTCTAAAGTTTTATCCAAATCCATATTATTTGTCACAGCATCATTGTTCCCCCATTATAATAAAACAAAAATACGCTTTTAACCGATAATGTACTATTCATTTAGTGAAATATACCATTATTAATGCAAAAATAGAAGAAAATTACAAATTCTATTGTTTTTAAATTGTGGTGGTAAGAATTATTTACTGATAAAATACCAACAATAACACTCAAAATTGTTCTTAATGAGAAAATGAAAACATATTACCTTACAGTATAATCAAGAATTAGATCCATACTTATAATTACTGTTATCGGTATCTTCATTTGGATTGTAAATGATGACTGGGTTCATGCATCCAACATTCTTCTATTTATTAACTTTTCCGCACACTTTTTTTCCAAATTGCAGGAGTAGCAGTATTTAATGCTCAATGTCTAATATAGTTATCGTAGTAAGTTTTGCGTATTCCCCAAATATGTTAAATGTAATTGAATTTACAATTACAAAGTCTTAATAAGTCTTAACAAATGATGTCCAAAACTGTCTATAATCTCGTCTACTATAAATACTTTTGCTTTTTCATTCCTTTTTGTTCACTGTAATAATTCCGGCTTGAAAGATTCCCGAGAAAATGAAATATTTTCATTCACTAACCATTCTTTTATTTTATGTATTGTCCAGGAATTTGTCGGTTGCTTATTTGCAATTTCTGAATGGTATGGGGCTTTATCTAAAACTATAACAGATGGTTCATGTAAACTTGGAAACAGTTTTCCTTTTAACCATTTCACAAACATTTCTTCATTCATGCTATCGTGATAATCAGCCGATTTTGATTTTGACGAAAACACAGGATCCGCTCTATCAATAAAACCACGTAATATGTGTCTTTCATGTCTTTCACGTTTTTTTAGCAAAAATTCACGTTTTGTCTAAATAAACAAATGAATCTTGTTCTTTTTTAAAATTATAGTTTCTTAAAAACTGACTCTTGTGTGAACTACTCTAGCTCTTTCACACAAGGCTTTTCTATTGTCTTCCATTTATACTAATTATGTACAGTAAACTATTTACACTAATTACCACAGCCACTTTTAAACTTTTTATGTTAAGATATAGCAACCGGTTGATTTCGATAAATACGATTCAAAACGAAAAATTCCAGTTGGTTTAATCGTTCATAAAATTTAACTATTATTATTTTAATATAAAGCAGAGAAGAAATTTTATTGAACTTCTTAAAAAAAAATAAAGAATACACAATAATTTTTCAACAAAAAGTAGAACGAAATTTGGACATGAGTTGTCTATAACGGTACTTAATATTGTTCTGAAGCTATTTTCTTGTGGCATTGTAAATTAATTACTATTAAACTGGGAATAAGCCACAAT